ATCGTAATGATACTTCAGAGAAAACAAATAAACTAGGAGACAGTGAATGAAGGTAGACAACTCTGGAGGATGGACCAAAGGATATGTGTCTAGGGCAAGTAGGAAGGAAACTTTTCTGTTTTTCTCTTCCTAACTAAATGTTCCTTCTCTGATGGTGTGCATCTTTGTCAGGAAGAGGAGTAGTGTGCTCTACTCTCCTACCAGCAGGGGGAGCAGTAAACTTGAAGTGACACCTTTAACAAAAGTCCATCCACTCAGTGGAGTGTGAGTAGGTATTCCCATCCAGTTTTTCACTAATAGATTCTAACTGGAAAAAGTTGTTTTGCTTTCTTCTACTTATGGTTCACCGAGGGGTGGAACACTAAGGGTCCTAGGAAACAATGCTCACTGTGGTGATAAAATGCATGTTATACTAATGATTTTTTTAAAAACTATGGTAAATTGTACTTTTAAGATTACCATTCTAGGTTCCAGTAGGATTGTTAATTATGGCTCAAGTACTCTTATACCTGAGCTTGTTGAAAGGGGTGACATTGATCAAGATGTATTGGATTCATAAACTACTTTGTTAAATGACAACTCCTTTGTTTAACTACTTACCTACAATATACTTTTTCAGATAAGATTAGGGCCTATAAGGAAATTTGAAGTCCCTTGGAAGCAGTTGTTGCCATAAGGACACTTTTACTGTGCCAGAAACGACAGTCTCTTTTGTTATTTTTGTTAAACCACATCACTCTTTAAGAAAAAATTAAACAACAGGAAGTGGTATGCTGTGGCTCAAGTGGTAGGGCTCTTGCCTTGAGCTGAAGAGCTCAGAGATAGCGCCCAGGAGCAGAGTTCAAGCCCTACAACTGACAAAAATAAATAAATAAATAAATAATGTGTTACTTATAAGTGTTCGCTTATTCATGGACCTTGATTTTCTTTCATTGTTCTTCATTGTAGGTTCTAGGGATGGGAGTGTTTTGATGTTGCAGATTATAAGGCAGGGTTATCAGATGCCTTATCAAACTTGGTACAAGACACAAGGCTAATCACTAGGAAGTGGAAGAGTTCAAGGCAAATGGTTATTTTAATTTGGGCTCTTGTTAACTTGTCATCTAGGTTTTCTCACGTAGGTCTTAGAAGAAACACCATATTCTGAATAAGATATCCAAGATATGATAGTCATAGTTCCGAAGAGTCTCATGCTCAGTGAAAGTGAAAACTACTTCTTATGTGGTAGTTTCTGTCATCTTTTGGGGGTCACACAACCCTTGTGGAAGTAGCAGCAGAAAGTTGTGGGACTTCTTTCCAAAACTGCACAGACATATATCATTTTAGATTTACTTCAGGATTTTATTGGTGGATCCAATCATGGGAGCCCATCATAAATCTCTTCACTGGAGGGATCAGGTGGGCCCATGTGCAAGATGATCCATTAAAGTACAGACTGATCAATGTATTTATTTTTGTCTTTATTTTTACTGTAGAGATAACCCTATTTCACATAGGAAGCTAGTTTCTTGGTGCCTATATAGCATCTGAATACAGATAATCAGGATTTGTTCTAAAAGCTCAAATTTTTATTGATTAAGAAGGATAGTTCAAAATTGATAGACTTGGAAGTGGCGCTGTGGCTCAAGCGGTAGAGTGCTCGCCTTGAGCTGAAGAGTGTAGGGACAGTGCCCAAGCCCAGAGTTCAAGCCCCACGACCAATCAAAAAAAAAAAAAACTGCAGCAAAAACTGCAAAATTGATAGACTTACCAATTTAAAGAGTAGTGTTAATTAAATTTGAAGTCTAGACTCTCTTCTTCCTAAATTGGAGGACCAGTGATAAGAAGTTAAATCACAAGATGACTGCAAGTGAGTGGACATTTTGGAGCTAATGATGACAATTCAAACCTCCTGGACTTTATTCAGTACTTTCACACATGTTCTGCTTGGTCCCTCCAGTGCTTCTGCGACCTAGTGAGGTAAACATGCCAATGTAAATTGTAAGAGCAGGTTAACTCAATCTTTGATGACTTAGGACACATTCCCAATGGCCAGGGGCTAGCCAATGGGGGAACTGTTGTGTCTGACCACAAGTCATGTGCCCATCATTTCACTGACCTACAGAAAGAAACCAGCAATTATGGGATGCCGATGACCCCTTTGCTGGAGTTCCTGGTGCTCCCTGATGATACAAGGTTGCTGAATCCCTAGCCTATCCAGGCATGGGGCTAGGAAACATATTTTAAGCTACATTACCTCAGGGCCAGGAAGCTGAACTAACAATTAAGCATCAGTTCTCTCCTGTAGGTACTGTAATGCCAACATATTTCAAAAGAGATAGGAGGCTCTGGGAGGGTTTAGCTACATCTATGGGCAATGAAGATTTACAACGGGTTATTAAATAAGAGTTCTGAATCTGGCTTGTGAGAAGTACCAACTGCTCTTTCTCCCAAATTTCCCCTGGTGCCACTGTCAAAGGCAAAGTACTCATCCAGATAGATTGTTGTTCTGACCCAGAATGACATTTACAACTTTTCTTATCTAAGATCCAATTTTAGAACTTCCTTTTCAGTAATATTATGTGGAATAGCATTAAAAAAGTCTTTTGGCATTAAAGATAATAAATGTGTTCAGTATTTCTCAGGTGTCTTTGCTCTTTGCCAATGCATTAGCTGTATTGATTTTAGAATTTTAAATGACCCTTTTTACCAGACTTGATTAATATCCCTTCCTCAGATCTTGGCTACCTGCTCTGTCTATCTCTTATGTGAAGTTGTTGTACCTTTCCCACTCACAGGAGTGAATGGTGAGTGACCTTCACGTAGCCCAGGTCACGGAATGTCACAAGAAGCATCCCTGGGGCTGGGTGATTAGCTTAGAAAGGGGTTCTGATCATGGAAGGGTCAGCCTTCAGAACATTGCTCAATGTCCAATTGTTGAGCGCTGGTGCTAGAAATGCTCACTGTGTACCTATTGGCTTGAGGAGTACCACACTGCTGTAATGTATGGCTTCCAGAGCAAAAAGATTTAGCCAGCAGAAAGCTTGCAGGTGAAATCTCCATTTAGCAAGAGACCAATTCAGTCCAATATCACTATGCTTCCTGAGATGAAAGTTAATTCCCCAAGAGTCCCTCTAATGAATGAATACTATCCTGCTGTCCTCAGAAGATGCTTTAAAAAATCTGTTCACACATGAGTTTGTTCTCCATCTGATAGCGAGCTATTGGACCTTGAGAACGGTGCCACCTGTCACAGCTTCGTGCATTGGCCCTCCTGTCTCTCAGAGGAGCTGGTTCATGATGGATGCTGACTCACAGGCCAGACTTTTTGATAGCCAATATTGTTTCCACCTGTTGACTATTAATTTCTCCTTCTGGTATTTTGAGTTAAATCTGTTATGAATACAAGTGCATTACATCGAAGTTGAAACATTTAGGTCTAAAAATCATTCCCAATCTTATTACAGGAGAGCATCTATTCAGCACTTTTTACATGGTTGTTTAAGAGATTTCTAACAACAGAAACAGAATTTTAAAGTTAACAAGAGTGAATATTTTCTTCGAAGTAGTTTTCTTTTGTTCAATCATCCTCATAAATGTTATTAGGACAACAAAAATTTATTTCACCATTTATCTTATGGTTGTATACTACATATCATAATATATAGTTGCGTTCTTTTATATGGATGATTATTTACTTACCCATTTTTCTATTGTGTCACAGTGATGATTATGAGATATGATGATTATAGCATAGGAAATCTCTGATTCAGATTCCATTTGAGAAAGGCTATTGTTATTAGTGTTTGGCCCATGGTAGTTAACAAATTCTGGTTTTCTTCCTTGTATTGAGAACTTGGGGGATATATTAATATTTAATCCAAACACTTTTAATTGTTTTACTGTGTAAATTCTTTCTATTTTCTATTCCTAATTTTAGGAATACTGGGCATTCTGATGCCAGGGCTTTAGTTCCTTTATATTGTTAGATCAAGTATATTGGATTCTTGTCAAATCTAGAATGCTAGTGCTATAAATAACTAAGCATGTAACTCTGTGCAATGGGTTCTTTCTCAATTGGCCCACATTAGAATTTGATATGGTGTTTATAACTACTAATACCTTATGAAATCCCAGTTTAGTGGATGAGGACTCTCTACCTGGACTTTAACATTTCTGTGTTCTAATTTCAGTGGTAGAGGGACCATAATTTGAGGTTACCATTTGGCTAGTAGACTTTACTAACTTCATTAAATGTCAAGATTTTCATCCTAATAAGACTTTTGCTTTAAAAATTAATTAAATCTTGAGATGACTTATAACAGGAGGCAAATATTGCAATAACAATTATGTTCTGCAACAGGAAATAAGTTCTAAATGAATCTTAACATTTTACCTGACACATGACTATGTTTAAATGTATTAAGGATGTCATGGAATGGTGCAGGGGAGGAAAATGAACTTGATTTGGCAGGTGGGTGTTCCAAGTACTATTATCTACAACTGTCTGTGTTGATTGACAGCACGCACATTACCTCTTAACAGCATTGTACTCAGTTGCATCAGATATAAGCGCATGGCATTTTTACTGAATATTTGAAACTGTTTTAGTTTGTAATATTAATTTCACACAGACTTTCAGCCACAGTTGCAAGGTGCTTAATGGAAAATAAACCGAAAGTTTCTACGAACATTTTCTTGCAGTAAACCTAGATCAGCAATGATATCATAGCCTAGGTATTCTGTATTCTGAGTAAGGCAATGTTAAATGATGCATCCAAGCATTCTATCCCATATTATAGTTATGGAAGCTGAAGCAGAAGGCTCAGAAGCGCAAGGTCACAAGTAGAGCCAGAATTGGAACTCAGATCTCTTGGATCCTCGTTCTCGGCTCTTTACACCCTACCCTAATTACCTCTTATTCATTTATTTTTAACATAATTTCTATCTAATGAGAGGCCACTTCTATGTAATGGCTGGTGGAAAGAACATTGGAGCAAGGAATTTTACTCAATATTTTCTTTTGGAAAACCAAACATGCTTTATTTCATTTTTTCACAATTTATTTAAACATCTCACATATACAAAATAGGTACAATTTAACTTTTTCTGCTTGTCCAGGAAACAAAGCTTCTTTGGAACCATGAAAGAGAATGAAAATGGCAAAGAACAGATGCTGAGTCTAAAGAAGAGGTGATCCGCTTACTATTAGTTGGGGATAAGATGGGAAATATGGATGCTAATTCAATTTAGAAAAAAAAACACCACACAATACTACTCAATACAGAGGAGTATTTCTTCTCAAATTCTTCTAGCACCATCGACATTCTTCAAGTGTCTGAAATACTATTAACTAGCACCTTTGCATTATGAACAAAATAAGTACCTCAGTTGATGTCTGTCTAGGCCAGCACCTAATGAGGTGGATCGCACTCACAAGAAAGTGTTTGAGGTAGTTTAAACCTTTGGAAGTTCGGGTTTTAAACTTCCCTCTGTGGAAGATATTCAGAAGCCACAAGTGGTGTGAATGTTCATGGTTTTTATTTATTTTTCAATTTTAATTTTGGTTTTCTTACAAAGGTTGACATTTTCCACAACAGGTGTAAATGTTGAAAAAAATTCCAAATCTTTGGGGGAGGGGGAGAGGAAGAGGGGGTTAATGAAATTGTATTGCACAATGCTCTGGTCAATCTCTTCTCTGTGGCCCACAATTTAAGCAAGGAGATGTGCAGAAGAAATGGGAGAATTCAGCTTTCAGTTAAAAAAGAAGACAAAGAAGAAATGGCAAAGAGAAAGTATTTTTTCAGATTCCTTTTTGATTTTTAATTTAGGTTGAGTTCGTTTATTTGAAACAGACTGGGCCGATGCTCACTTTGAATTCTTGGTCCGTGCCACCGATGTCCAAGGGGGCAATGTCAAGGAAGGGCAGGCGAGATGGCTTGTTTGTTTTGTATTCAATGATTGTCTTTCCCCATTCATTGGTCTTTTTCTGTGAAAAAAAAAGAAAGAAAAGAAAAAAATACATTAAGTAGCTATTTCTATACCTACTGGACATTTGAACCTTAGATTTTGTAAGGACTACTTTTTGGTTTGTTTATGTCATTCTGAACATGGGCATCTCACAACTTGCAGAGGCTCAGCCTTGGAAATATAGCATCAAAGGTGTCTTTATAGTCTGCTTTAAATATGCATATTCCAATTGATATTTCTATAGGTATCATTTTCAGAATTGGTGGGTCTCTGTGTGTATTTGTATCTGAGGAAGTTAGGAGGGTACTCAGTACTGCTACTAGTAAATTTTAAATTTTCCATTATTTGTAGGATTTATGTTGTAGAGAACATGCTTTATATTTCTCCAGTATCATTTTTAGTTCAGGGTGTGTGTGTGTATGTGTGTGTTTGGGGTTGGGTGAGATGCAGTACTGCTATTAGTGAACTTTAATTATTTTGTACTTATAAAACAGTGTGGGGAATACTTTGCATATTGTTACTTTATAAAGGAAAAAAGATCACACCAAGGAGAAAGTAAATGGATACCATACTAACATATAACATAAAATACTTAGAACTATAAATCAAAGCTTAGGGTCTTTAAACCTCAAGAAAATTTTAAATGATCGGTATTTGTTACCATTAAAAAAACCTCCAGTTAAAAACTGAACAACGAAGACATGACAATATCTGATAAGCATTCTTGGAATTTACCAGAGAAGTTTTAGATGGATTTAAATAAATATACTTATGACAAGAGATCAAGTTAGGTGTCTCATTCATCTGTTCACTTAATGGTCTAAGTGGGATGGAGGGAGTCTATCCTGTTTCTCAAATAAATGTTCCACCACTATTTTACTATTACTTACCGAGCAGCCATCTACAAGAACAGTGTAAGTGAATCTGCTGTTGCCCTCAGGAACAAGTTCAACATCATTGGAGCCCTGCAGAATGACAGCCTTATCCAGGCTGCCAGTCTCTTCATCCAGGTATGCAATGCTATTCTTGCAGTGGTAGGTAATGTTTTGGGAGGCATGGTTGGCCAGCAGGCGCATGAAGGCAAGTTGAGTAGCCATTTCCTTGGAGGTCACTCCTTCTACATTATATTCAAACTATAGAAAAAAGATGGGAAGTCCAGTGAAGTGAAGAAAGATTCAAAAACTGACAATAAATTTTTTTAACTTGGTGTGAACAGGAATAATAGACTCAAATGAAAACAGTATTTTAAAAAGAAATTCCATCTCTGAATTCTATCTCTAAAGTATTGGTTACTTTGATGGAGATAAACATCACCAGGCTAAGAAAAGGTCTTCTGAAAATGGCACCTGTTTTGGTTAAGTGTCGATGTGTATGCAGATTTGTTAGAATAAAAGAGTGATAGGACAGACATTCAGACATTTTTCCTTTTTGGTATTTCTGTAATTTTCCCAAGGTAAAGTAGGTAATGTTGGAGAAAAGTTTGCATTAAAAATTCTGGAAAGCTGCTCACGTTCCAAAAATGCATATGCATGGCTGTGGGTTATATGCCGGCCAGTTCACCTTTACACTAAGTGACATTGGCTTGTTTCTTCAATGATTATCAATTAAGTCAAATTTAAATATTAGACTTTGAGTTATAAAAATGTGTCCACTCAATCATCTATCCCTATGCAATCTAATACAGAATTGGAGCTCAAGGATCAGCAGGTTCTTTTAATCAGTCCATTTTGATAATGGAGTCAAACTCATATAATTAAAAAAACAAACAATCCTAGAGAAATAGTATCTAGTAGAGGAAAGAATATTTGTAGGATTGCTCACCTGGCTGCCACCATTGATGGTTTCTCCTAACCAGACATGTTTCTTGGCTGCAGCACTCCTGTACCAGTTCTTGGCTTGAATGTTTTCAGGCTGGGCCTGGATGCAGGTTTCACCAGAAGAGAAATCACAGAATACTTTGATGGCATCCATAGTGCATCCTTGATTAGGGTCAATCCAGTAGTAACCTTTCCAGAAAACAAGATACAACTCATAAACTTCTCATTAAGCAGACAGTTTAGGAAAACTGAGTATGCTTAATCCCATAAGTAACATTTTTGAACACAGTTACATTTGCTATTTCATTATTACTGGGAAAAGAGTGGCTAATTTTTTTAAGACTAGATAGTTTCTTCTCTCTTCTCTTCCAGGCAAAGTCAAATTTGGGTATTTATCATAAAAAATGGCAAAATAATTTCTAAGGTAAAGTTGAGGATAGGTATGAGTTGGGAAAAGAAAATGATGCTTTATTAAGTCCATAATGTATTTTTTGGTCAGATACATCTTTATTGAAAATGTTAGTAGGGATTGATATTAGAAATTTCAATTTGTGAGAAAGGCCAGCCTTGTTGGACATTTTTGACCTACCACTGCTCCACTCTGGGTGGCTGAGTCTCAGGTCACGGCAAGTACGAGCTGGATTCTTCCTGGAGCCTTCAGGAGTAAGAAGGGTCTCAATCTGGTTGTTGAGGGATTTTAGAGTAGCATCTACTTCATAGTCCTTGGGTCTGAGAGAAGGTTGTGAGCGAGGCTGGTCAGCCCTGTAGAAGTCTCCATCAAAATCATAACCACCACCGCTTATGCCAGGAGGGCCAGGAGGTCCAGGAGGTCCAGGAGGACCCTGTGAGGGTAAAATGGGAGCGGAACATCTTTGAATTACATGTTAGAGTAAGAATAATCAATGGCAGCAGGCTTTCGATTGAGTTTCACACAAAAGCGTGTTTGGATAAACAAAAAAGAATCAAGGTCATGTAATAGATAACTTGCTCTCAGGTACACTTATAGGAAAGGGGCTTTTTAAAAAGCCTATTGCCCACAGACAATTCTTCAGCTATCTTTGGAAATCCATGGAGGTGGAGTTCCTCCAGTGTGTTGGTTTAGTTGGAAGAAATGCCTTAGATTGGTGAGATACATTATTTCCCCCAGTTGTACTTACAGCAGGACCTTGGCTACCCTGGGTGCCTCGAACACCAGCAGGTCCGACAGCACCAGGTTGTCCAGAGCGACCATCTTTGCCAACAGGGCCTGTAGGACCAGCAGGACCCTAAGGAACAAGGACATCAATTGCATGTGAGAGAGGGAAATCTGGTAAGGAGCTCACTGCTAATATAATGCTTTATTTCAAAACTGAACTGTCTTTTGAATTCACCTACCCTGGGACCAGCAGGACCCACAGTACCAGGAGAACCTTGATCACCATGCGGACCCTTTAACGAGAGAACAGAAAAAAAATTATGCTTTCTGAACACGTGTCAATGGATACATTAGTTTTTTCTTTCACATTGAATAGAAAACATTAGTTTCAATGGACTCTGGATTGAGAAAATTGAAAATGTAAAGTGGGGCTCTTTTCTCTCATTATGTCTATTATATTCAATTATTTCTTTTTCACAGCTATTTCAACAGTGAAATATTAGTCATCTCTCTAATGATATTTATTTTAAGTGGGGTTGAAGGATATCGTTACCAGGAGGTTTTAATATGTGTATCTTTTTCTCTCCGTTAATTCTTGCCTTTTTCTATTGGTAGGTAATAGCATCATCTCTGAGAAAGATGGAGTTAGCCAGGGAATGGAACAGGGATATGAAGCAGGATATATTAGAACAAAAGCAGTGAAGTATCTGAAGAAGTGAGCTGAAGGTCATTGAGGTCAGCTTATAGGATGGATGACCAACTCGTGCTTACCGCAAGGCCTGGAAGACCTTGTAATCCATTGTGTCCCTTAAGGCCAGGGAGCCCTCTGTGTCCTTTGTCACCAACCTCTCCCTTTTCACCCCGAATGCCTTGAGGACCCTGCAAGGCAAGAAAAGCATAAAGAGAACATTTATTTAGTCATTCATTTATGTAATAATTTAATGACACTCCTCTATAAATGCTGTTCAATCATCTCATTTGCCAGACATACAAATGTTTAGATGAGTTCTTTCCCGGTAGTCTGCCTTAGTTTTAGCTATAGAAAAAGGGCTCCAGTCTTAGAATTATGTAATGCAAATAAGCAGATAAACCTTAATATACACCAAATTATCTGTATCAATTCTCAGTGTGGACTAATTATTTAAAAAATAGGAAATCTAGCCTCTATAGTATATGTTTTCTCTATCTATCTAGCCACTGATATAATGGATGTCAGGATTGATTTTCTTATATATTAATTTGTAAGAAATCTTCACCATGTACGTACACTAGGGCCTCTTGGACCTACAGCACCGACAGGACCGATGGAGCCAGCAGGGCCCTGTGAATTGGGAAAGAAAATCAGAAATTCATTAGCTATTCCCAGAACCTTCTTCCTGGGCCCCAGCCATTTCTAAGAGCAAAGTCAGAAGTGAGGCCCGTGCAAAGCGTGAAGGGACTCGCATTTACAGACTTACAGGTTCACCACGGTTTCCATATTTGCCAGCAGGACCCACGGAGCCTTGAGGACCAGGTGCACCTGCAGCGCCAGTGGGACCGATGTTGCCAGGGTAACCACGCTCTCCCTACCAAAGGTGAAATGAAGCTTAGCGCCAATCTGCCTGTATTCTAATCACTATTAAATTAGAGAAAGATGAAGAAGTGTGCTGACCTTGTGTCCAGGTTGCCCATCACGACCCGGGGGACCATCGCTTCCAGGATTGCCCTGTGAAGACACCATATGAATTAAGTCAGGGCTCAGACTGTTAAAGAATAGGAGCAAGAACTTGCTAAGTTAGATGTCTTTTTAGAGATATTTTAAACATTTGGACCCAAATATAAAATGTGCTGGGTAAAGGCCCATTCTCCAGCCCAAGTAACTTTTCAAATTTTTAATGATAAGAGAGACCATAACATGCCAGTGATATTGTGGAGAAACAGACCATTCAGTTCAGGGACTTGCCACATGAGAACATGAGACTCTCAGTTCTAAGTTTTCAAGGGTTAGACTCACATCACGGCCAGCTTCACCGGGAGCACCATTGACTCCAGGACTGCCCACAGCACCAGGGGGACCACGGGCCCCAGGAGGGCCAGCAATGCCCAGAGGACCAGGTTCACCCTAAAAAGGCAGAGAAGATGAGATGACTTCGCTCTCATTGGATAGCATTCTAACCTCACCCTTCTGAAACAATCCCCCAGGAAATTCTAGTTTAAAGAGAGAAAGAACATAGAAGGGGAACAGGCTGCAATGTGACTGGATGCATAGTGAGCGTCCCCCTGGCCCTCCTTTCTATTCACTTAGAGGGTCAGTTGTGCAATGATGGAGCATTGTTGTGCACAGGGAAGCTTGTTACATCCAACATCCCCGTTGAATGGAATGGATAAAGTTCCTAGAGTTTATAGAGATGAGATGGTTTCTAGTTGTCACAGGTAAGGTTCAGTGGAATGATTCAGAACTTCCAGTTTCATTCTGCAGGATGATGCCAGCATTTCCCATTGCAGGGAAGTCAATGCAATGAAAGCTTATGTCGTTCTCAAGTGTGTAGAAAGAACAAAAATCATCCTGCATAATGTTAAGCTGCTTTATCATTATAGTGTGTGTCTAAGTAAGGTGGTATTAAAGCTTCTTAGATAAATGACATGCGATCTGTATAAAGAAAATGCCATGAATAAAAAATCTTAAGTGGAGTTATTCAGTGATCAATCTGTCATGTTTGAAGTGGCAGCTTTTAAAACCTTTTATTATGTTAATGAGAACCAGAATGATGTCAAGCACTCACCAGAGCACCAGAAATACCAGGCAGACCACGTTCACCTCGAGAGCCAGGGAGACCCAAAATACCAGGAGCGCCAAGAAGACCCTGAGGACCTGGGGTGCCAGGAGGGCCCTAAACAAAAGTGAAAATACTGAGCATTACTACGAAGACCCAAGGTGATAACATAGCTTTGCTTGAAGATTATGTGAATGAGTTGTCCTCAGTTTAAAGAAAGGTTAGTGACCTTCTAACAGTGGGGCACATCTTTCCTTTAGTTGTATCTTGGCAGGTATAGTTTTTTGTACCTGCTTCTTCCTTGAGGTCAATGGTACAACATACTCTGTGTGTGTGTGTGTGTGTGTGTGTGTGTAGTTGAGATTCATAAAGTCTTCAGGGGAGTAGAATAAAGTGTTTATAGATTCTAAGCATTCTAAGCAGGAAAGCAAATTTTGAGCTTGACCTCTAAGGTTTAATAAAGGCACTTTTCACAGCAGCAATAACACCTGACAAGGCATGTTTAAGTATTTTAGTAGCCTACTGAAATGATTAATTTACAGCACAGTGGCCACAAGCATGGGATTCTATTTAAATCTTGGTACCTTAAGTGACCTCAATAGTTTATAGGGCTGATGTAACTGATAAAAGTTGAGTTCCCTTGTTTACTCCCATCCCATCATTCCTATGATGTTCTTTTTGAGCATCTGCTCAAGCCACCGCATCCCCAATCTGCCCTGGACAGGTTGTGTGGTTCAACTGAGCTCTACTTCAGAGCCTGCAATAGGTATCAACAAATATATGCTGCTTGAGGATTTGTAGAGGGGCATTATTATTATCTGGGGTCTGGGTGATGTCCCTGAGCTTTTGTGCTCAAAGCTAGTGCTCTACCATATGAACCACAGCTCCAGTGCTGGCTTTTTTTGTGGTTAATTGGTGATAAGAGTCTCATGGACTTTCCTGCCCAGGCTGGCTTTGAACCATGATCTACAGATCTTAGCTTCCTGAGTAATTAGGATTACAGGTGTGAGCTATTGGTGCTTGAAAAAAGAGGTATTGTTTTTAACTCATCGTCAGATATTAAGAAAAAAGAGTTTGAAATCACTTACAGCAGTACCAGGCTCTCCGGAGGGACCTTTCTCACCAGTAAAGCCAGGGGGACCAGATGCACCTGTTTCTCCAGTTCGGCCAACTGGACCTTGGTCACCACGAGGACCACGAAGCCCTTCTTTACCAGCAGCACCAGGGGGACCAGGAGGGCCAGTAATACCCTGTGAGCAAATATACACTATCATTTACTTTCTACTAATTATTATGGGCCTGGAAATGAGAAGCAGAGGTTGGTTGTAGCTATTAAGATGAAAACTGTGTGATACCACAGAACAATACCCCAGCAATGTTGAGACAGATTTAGATTTAAAAAAAAAAAAACATTCTCATGGAAAAAAAAAACTTCTGTCTTACTTCTGAGATGTGAATAGTTGAGTGAATAGTGAATATGAATTATTGAGTCAGTTTCTATGGCCATTTTCAGTGACAAAAAGCAATGTCATGCTGCTGGCATCTGGCATATTGAACTCAGAACTATGAGGAGACAGAAGAGTTTTAAATGAATGTGACTTTGGGTTTCTTTTTGAACAAAGCCAACATTGACATTTGTTTACAATTGAAGAATCACATATGCTCTCAACTAGGTTTAATTAAATGCCTACAGGGAATGAAGATTTTTTCTGTTATGAACCTCTAAAAGGGTTTCAAGAAATCAACATCTTTGCTACTTTTTTCCCCCTGAAACCTTAACCAGAAGACTTAATCCTTGGTAATTAATTAAATTCTCTTGAGTCCTGACAGGAGAGTCTGAATCAGAATTAAATTAGAGACCAAACCACCTTTAAATTCAGGGACAATTATACCTCAACAACAGAGGCAGAATGGTAGCCATAAAGGGTAATTAGATATAGAAATATCTGATATGTGACTAAAGCCTCTCTCTTTTTTTAAATACACAGACATCATGCCTCTGAAAGGGGACTGGTGCTTGCATGAATTAAAGCCTTTTAATCTGATCTTATAAAATGCAATTTGTGATGATTTTGCCTTCATGATTTAGGAAAAAAATTGATTTTAGACCAAGAAAGTAATAGCAAATAATAGTCAATGTATCACAGAGAGTTTCTTACTAGTTTCCAACCAGACGCTAGATCTTTTAGCTTGAGTAAATGAAAACTTATGGAGTGTTTGACTTACACTGGGTCCAGGGGGACCAGTCCGTCCAGCAGCACCAGGGAAACCAGTCATACCCTGAGAACCAAGCACATTACAATTCCACCATTAAACCAACTCTAAAGATCTGCACACAACAGAAACTTCTTTGACAAATCTTCTCAAGACTAACATGGACTAAAGAATAAGTAGCATGCAGCCTCCGGTTGGTATTATTTAACCAGAACCATGGTAGTCCCTTCTCCACATGTCTTCCTTCTCAGCAACTGCATTAAGGTTTTGATAGACTTTTTTTTAAGGATGTTTATAAGATTAATATAAGGTACAATGGCACTTATGCTTATTTAAGTATACACAAGAATGTATACACTTAAGTATAAGTAACCATCTTAACTACCAGTCTGGGTGCTAGGGACATAGACACTATCTATAGAGGAAGCTACAAAAATGACCTAGAGCATTAAGGCCCTTCCTACTGAGCAGAAAAATCAGTGGAGTTCACTCCAGGAGATCTCTGGGTCTTTAGAGAGTTAGTCTGATAGTACTGGATGCAAAGGCAAGACTTGGCCAGGCTGAAGAAGGACATACACAAAAGTATATAGGGCACTAAGAAAAGATTGTATTTACTTCAGAATTAAACTGCCTGGGGTTGACTTTGGGTATATTATCTCAGTCAAGGTGGTAATAGCATACACTGGGCTAATGTGCAGTTAGGACTAAGTTACTATCCAAGTAGCTGACCTTGGATACAAGATTAGAACTGCTCTATTAAAATGAACTCGAATCTCAGGACTCTCTTCCCTGTTGTTCAAATTTACCAAAAATCTCAAAACTTTCAGACTGTCCCTAAAACATTCTAAAGAAAAGTGATGAGTCCACTGTAAATACTCACAGGGGGACCTCCATCACCACGACCTCCAACAGGGCCAGGGGGACCATTTGGACCCTAAATGCAAATAAAAAGATAAGAGTTAAATCTCTCTCTCTTTCTCCTACCTTCTCCCCCACACTCATGCACACACACACACACACACACACACAAGATCTTATAAATGTTATTCTTCTTAGTCAAGATAATTATTCTCATATCTATTAGAAGAACATTCAGAAATGAAAAATTGATTATGTCATATAAAACAAATGTTCTACTTCAACATAATCACCCTATGGGTATTCAAGAACAAAAATAAGATAACATCTACAAAACTCTTAGACACTGTGAAGTAAATTGTTAATTAAAAATAATCCGTGTATAGTTCCTGGAATACAGTGGGCACTAACTGATATGTGTGAAAGTATATAATCTAGAGGAATGTACAAACACTGTGTTAAACAACACAGAATTCACTTACAGATGGGCCAGCAGCTCCGACGGGACCGGAGGGACCAACAACACCATTTTCACCCTTAGGTCCTTTGGTTCCCCTCTCTCCTTTAGCACCAGGTTGACCAGCAGCACCCTGTTGGAGAGGAACAGTTAATAGCTCTGATAGTCTGACTCACTCTGCTCTCCAACTTGGGATATCTACAGATGAAACTTCATTATGTGATACTCACAGCAGGACCAGCGAATCCATTGGGACCAGCAGGACCAACCTCACCGCGTTCACCCTATGGAGGAAAAGGGATTTAAGATGTCTTAGCAAATCTTAGGTTCATAAATGTCTATGGGTTTTGAGACCTGAGTGTCAAAATGACAGATTTCTACTTACAGGGCTACCTCGAGGACCAGCAGGGCCAGCAGGACCAGCAGCACCAGCTTCACCCTGTAACGGGACCGAAGATGTGTTTGTTAATGTGCTTTCCACAGGTGTTCCAGGAATGGAAGGGACAGAGAACATTAGGAAACAGTGGGCTATTGTCAGAGTTAGCAGTTGTCCTGGAAGAGATAACTAATGGACATCTCAGAGGAAAATGAAGTGGATTCTTCCTCTTCATATTGTTGTATTCATTTTAAGAGTTTAAGTGGTATTGGCTGTACAGTTACAGACCACTATAAGTCAGTACCCACCATACCAGAAGAAGGACAGTTTAATTTTTAGATGGACATAGGACTGATCTATTAGCTGCAATCTTTGCAATACAATAAATAAGGCATGTTTTAAATGGTCTGTTTGATGTGAAATAGGCATGCTATGTATTTTATTGATTTCCTTAAATAATTGAAAGCTTTGAGGAGGCTTAGTGCATTAGGATATTGTTAATGGGCAACAGGGAAAGTCTTTAAAACAAATGACAGGGATTATGTATAGATCAGATTGCTAGCACATTTATAAGATGGGAAAGAGAACTTTAAACACATAGCATTTGTTTCCTGCTGCCCTACCACAGGATTTTAAATATGTGGCTGTTCTACCAAGCTGTAGAAATGAATTGCTGGAGCTCTTGGGGACTAGCATGGGCAGGAAAGGTTTAGTCAGTGCTATCAGTTCAAGACAGATACATGAAAATGAATACTCACTCGGTCACCTGTAGCTCCAGCAGGACCAGGGGCACCTACAGCACCAGGAGCACCCTAATGTCAACAAGGAAACATGTTTTATTAATAACTCTCCACTCCATCAAAAGTGAACTTGTCATTCTCTCCTGTTGAGTGTGTACAGTGACTGAATACTTATATTACACATGTTAGTTGATCACTAAGAAAGCTCCTGATACATTTCTGTTCCAGTTGTTAAAGAGACAATAATATTAAGACCTATCTTAAAATTAGTTGGAGGACAAAAACACTCCAGTAATAAAGGTTGTAAAAATGTGTAAGGCATGGGCAGGCTGGAGATTAGGGAGAGTTGAACTCTTGTAGAAGTCTCTGGAAAACAGCAAATGAGTAGTGCTATTTGGGATCCTTAGAATTGGGTGATTCAAGAAAAAGACTACTAGGAATCAGCTACAGGGAGAGGTGAAAAGAACTCAACTAGATTGGCCTAGAAATACCTCTGGGTAATTATACCTAGATAATATATTTTTGTCATTGCCTTGGCATTAAGGCTGCTCTTAGACAGAATCCCTAAGGCACATATGTGAATAGCTGTAACACCTTGTTAGGGGTTCTGGCTTTTATTTTTTAAGATAAATATTATTTCTTGAAGCAGTCTTACCACTTAAAAACAATCATTAAATGTTATTTATTAAACCTTGAGCTTTGGGTCTGCAATTTGTAACTGGAATACTTAAAACTATGGGAGGTAGTAAATTCAGGTTGTGATTTTCAAAGGGATATGCCTAATTGAATTTTTCTGTTGGAACATGTAAAATAATATTATTAATGATCCAGAAAGGAATGGAACACTATTTCACTAAACTTGAATTCCTTTCTTCCCTGCTTCCTTTTTCCCCCCAATGGTTCTATTCTGGAAACTTTCTCAATTGAAATGAAGGAAAATGTTAAACAAAGATCTAAGTACAAAGTAAAAATTTACTCACACGAGCACCATCTCTGCCAGGGGTACCTATTTCACCTCTGAGACCAGTTTCGCCCTGAAAGTATAAAGCAAGAGCAACATTTTTGGCACCAAGTTTTAAAATCAGACTTTGTTGGAGGTGATTTTTTTTTCTTTTCAGAGGATGTTATGATGCTGTTAGTTATTTAAGACTGAGGAACTTTCAATCCTACAGGGTGTTGAATGAAGGAGAAATAAGAGCAAAGTCCTCTCTAGAATATCACTGAACCTTTTTTTTTCTGCTTCCGATACACCCTTCTGATACATAATCAAGCAAGGTACAAATTCATGTGGACAGAATTGTGAGGCAACATCACAACGGGCTGCGGTGCCTGATCACTTTTATGGCATAACTAATGCAGCAGCACGCTTGACAGCTGTTCAATATAGCTTCTTCCCATTAATTAGGGCAGAATGAGGCATTATTGTTAGTGGCATTAAAATGAGCCTCATGTATTACTCAACACCATCTGTTTGTATGAAATTCCATGGTAGCAAGAAATTTTGCCAGATTAGTGAGTTCAGAAGTGTGTAGGTGTTTAGTGGCAGAGGGAAACGTGATAGATAGATGTCAAAATGCTACCAGACTACCTGCCAAGAATTGTAAAAAAAACAAAACAAAAAAAAACAAAACACCCTCCCCCCAAAAAAACCCCACAAACATTGTTCAGCCTTAATTGCTTGAGATCACCAATGGTGTGCATGGTCTCTAATACGGACGGGGTACCTTTTCTCCTTTGCCTCCAGGTATCCCCGCAGCACCCCTCTCTCCTGGGAGTCCACCAGGACCAGATGCACCAGCATTGCCAGGAGCACCAACTGCACCGGCTTCACCCTTGAAACAAATACATGTGAAATCAATTATTTCAGTAGCAAAAGAAGAAAGTGGAGATTCAGCCTCTTGGATTTCCAATTTAAACATTTAATAGCATTCTTGCTTGCTTAGTGACACAAAAGAGGGCCATTGAGAAGAGAAAGAATATAACAAGGAGATACTATTAATGACAGGATGACTAAAGCAAAGAGGGTTGTGGGAGTGGGTGGCTGTGATTCTTCTTTGACCTGTTCCCAATCCTCTTAAGGGAGGAAGATGTGGAAAGAGGAGAGATTAGGTTAATGGGAAGTTGAGCTTGAAAAGTGTTTGCCCACAATCGCCTTTATTGGATAAGTCTCTTAGCCCAGGCAAGAAACATGGAACAAAACCTTGTCAACTGGGGAAATGTTTGTGTTTTAGTATACTTAAGAATGGAGACTATAGCTTCCATTTTTATATAAACCTTACAGTTCTATGTACTTAAAACCTGTCTATTGGCCCCTGCAATGAATAGATCCCTCAGAAAACACCATCTAACACCACTATATTTCCTTTCTCATTTCTTCTCTCCCTCTTATCTTGTTTCAATTTTTTCTCTTTTATACCATTCCACATACTAAAATTGCTTCTTGTGACTACTCTTCACATTCTTGTCCTGGAAGGTATGAATCAGAAGTAATATGATTTGCCTTCTTTTATTGTGGTTCAAGTAATCCATTTTCAGACATGGATAATTCCATATCTTAAAATTGAAACCACAGATTCTCTGGTGGAACAACATAGAAGTTTTAAGACCTGTTGTGAAAGTGAATTTAGTGCCCAGTTAATTTTCATTACTCTATATGGTGGGATGTGAAAAGGTAGAAGCTGCTTCTCTAAAAATAATGGTCAAATAAAAAGGATGGTTCTAGAGCCAAATGAAGGTTTAAATGATGTAATGAGAAAAGAGGCAAAACGGACACTAATTACTAATTCATTATTGTTTGTAGAACACTCTCCTCCTTGCCACTACACTTTTTCTCTTTTGAAATAGTTCAGGTACCCTGGAGTCAGCAGTAAATTGCTATGTGTTGATTTGAGGATCATTACAGAATTGGAAATAAATGAAATCTGAAGACATTTTTTTTCTATTGTAAAGGATTTAGTTGTTCTAGGACACAGGGGTCATGCAGCTAATCCACAAAACAGAAAGTTACCTTGTTTCCATCAGGTCCTGGGGGTCCAGAAGGACCACGGCTTCCAATAGGACCAGAAGGACCAGCAGCACCACTTTCTCCTGGGGGACCACGTTCCCCCTGTAAAGAAGAAATGACAAGTTGCTTTTAGAGACACTGTTTTATGCCCTGTGGCCCATGTTTGTTTATATCATTAGCCCTGATTCTTTCACATTTTCAGCAAATTAAAATCTCCTTTGTAATTTATCCACTGATGAAATGAAGAGAGGGGGAAGAGATAGAAAATGCCTGTTGTCTCAGTTCAAAGTTCTGGGGCTATAATACCAAAATGTGCTGCTTCTAGGGCATAATTATTTAGAAATAGGTTACTTTTTTAAAAAATCCTCTTTGCTGTAATAGTTCTACAGGTAAAAATAAATGTCAGTTATGCATTCTAGTTAAAGGAAAAGATTGTGGTGCTTTAGATTATGTGTCAGGTATAGATAGGTAAGATTATATTCTTTTATCTCTACCACCTTTTAAATAGTGCACTGATACAACACTTATAATATTCAACTGGGGCCTTACAAGTTAATCCATTTACCTCCAAATTTGCTCTAAATATAGGTAGAACATGACACTCTCTGGCCCAGAATATTTGTCAGAAGATCCACATTGCAACTCTATCAAAGGACCTCTCAATAGCTGTGGTTCCATGGTACTACGGTTTATGAAATGAGTTTTGGTCTTCCTATCTAGTAATACAATGTGATACATTAACTGCAATCCTTAAATCATCCCACGTATGCTATTATACATAGACAAAAATCATTTTATTTGTGTATTTTATTTATGTATTCAGACATGGATAATTCCATCTATTTTAAAGTTGAAACCACAGATTCTATGGTGGAGCAACACAGAAGTTATAAGATACGTTGTGAAGGTGAATTTAGTGCTCAGTTAATTTTCATTACTCTATGTGGTGGGATGTGAAGAGGGTAAAAGTTGATTCTCTAAAAATAATGACCAAATATATAGAATGGTTCTAGAGTCAAACCAAGGTTTAAACAATGTAATAAGAACTCGACTCATGAGTTCAGCTTTAGACTTTGTGCATCAACATGCGTTGCAAAAAGTTGACTTCAAATTCTAAGATAGTATTATTTTCCCTTGGTTCAAGCTGAGCAGTGACTCACCTATATAATACTTGTTTGTGTAAGTCACTGCTATAATACATATATTAATTCACTTATACTTCTTGTACGTGTAGTTATTGCATAAGAAATATGAGCAATTAAACCAAAAAGCTTATTATTTATTTAGGTATCTAGTATTGCCTACAGATCAGATCCGATTGCAGGAGAGGGCTAGGATCTTATTGTAAGGATAGGCATCAGTAACTTCATTACTCCTTTTAAAAACAGATTGCCAGAACTTTATGAAAACCAAGTAGCACTTACTCTTGGACCAGCAGGACCAGGGAGACCAAATTCACCAGGAAGACCCTAGGCAAAACACAAAAGTAAATAAAGCATGGAATATATTGTGTGATCTCTAAATTTGTTTGTAATCATGATATTTAAAGGGTTCCGAAAGAACTATATAAACCTACAGGGGCACTACCTACAGAAATGCTTAAAGATACAGAACTTTCAGTTGTCTAGGGAAGGCATAAAAAGAGAATTCCATTGATATCAAAGATGGTCCTGTGCTAGAACTTGGTATCAGCAAATGTACATTTTTCAATTTTGCAGCAGTATCTTTGAAAAATGACAAAGCAGACTATTGCCTTTGATAATACGATAAATAGTAATGAACAAATTCAGACATTGCCTGTTTTTAGTTATATAACAGACTGCCTTCTTAACAGAAATTATCATATTCTTCTGTATATTAGCTAGTTAATTGTATACCCAAGTGTATCTCTTTTATTACTGACCAGCTGTCTCCTTAATGTGCCCCAGTGTTGACAAAGGAGACCAGGCCACAGAATGGAACTAAATGGAGGCACATTCATCACAATTACAGAGAAAATGACTCAGAACTCATGCTCTGATTGTGGAGAACAGTGTTACGTCTGAATGCCAAGATAAACATTAAAAGCAATTTTTCAGAGTCTGGTTTGATGGAAAATCAGTGCATTTATGTTTTTGCTGTGGAGAAGGAAATAATCTGTATTTTAATATTACTGAGAACAAAACAAAAAGTAAAGCTATTATATGAAATGTGCATCAATAGGGCTTACTTTCATAATGTGATGTTTCATTCCATCCATAAAACAAAGTAATTTGAAGTAAAATAAGTAACTTGTTTTATTCTCTCCCTCAGCACCAACTAGAGAGAACGCTATCATTAACATATGAAATATGAAATTTCCTTTTGCATATTGGAGTGACACTGCAATAAGTCATTGAACAGAAGAAGATTCTTAATTTTAGGTGAATTCATTATCACTTGGTTTACTCACCCTTTCTCCTGGTTTTCCAACTTCTCCAGCTGAACCTGAGGGCCCAGGCAGACCCTAAATGAAAAAACATACAAACCTCAATCTTATCATCATGTGTAATGGATTTGCTCATAATCAGATTTAAGGGGGAAATGACTTAACATCAGTCTGGGCAGGATCATGAATTCCACAAGTTTTCTTTGACAAACTGCATTGTGTAAGTCTGGCAAATGGATATCCTGAAGTTACCTATCATCCCTGTGTATTTGGGTAGGTTTAGACCATTTGTCTCCATGGCTTGGAATAATAACAAGACCTATATTACCCCTTGTCTCTGTACTTGGAAACTTAGCAAAATGATTAGGGGTTTCTAGGTCATATGACTGGGTGTCTAGGTAAGAATGACTGGGTGTCTAGGTAAGAATTCAAGTCCCCACATTGAAATTAAGAGAGAAGGACCACTCATCAACATGTGAAGCAGGAGATGTTTCTCTCTTGCATTTCTATATCTCTCTAGCTTGTTAACTAAACTCCTTGCTAAACTTAAAACAAAAACACCTTCTGCTTCAGTTCTGAAGCCATGTTTGGTGTGGCAGGGGAGAAGGAGACAGTGAATTATAGTAGAGAATGTGGCCATGGGCAGAAGCTTAAATGTGTGTGACTCACCTGGAAGCCTGGAGGGCCAGCAGGACCCTGTTCTCCTTTGCCACCTTGGACACCCTGAAAGTAACAAGTCAGACAGCATCAATATCAGTGCTTGCCCAGGTTCCTCCTGGCTATCCAATATTTGGACTAGAAAATGGCCATGGGAGTTTAAGGGACCCGATCCCTTCCATTGTGGGGCTTGGGAGTGGGAGGAATACTCACCTGGGGTCCGGGAGGCCCCTGAGCACCATTGTTTCCGTCAGGACCTGGAGCACCCTAAAAATGTTCAATAGAAAGTTTGATGGTTACATGAGGGACAAGCAGTCTAAGATGCTTCAAAGAAACCTTACAGTTAAGTCCTCAAAGCCAAACTCTCATTTTGGCATGAATTAAACTCCAAGGCCTGAATGTGGACTACTCAGTTTTGATATGTTTCAAGGGAAGTCCATGGTTGGAAGAGATTTATTAAGGCTTGAGAATATTACCACATAATGACACAGTGAATAAATTAAAGGCCATAGGCTTTTTTAGTATCCTTGTCTTATAGCTCACTGCCTTCCCTGTGTGCTATCTTTTTGATTGTATATATATTTATATATGTTTTATTGTAAAGATACTGTTCAGAGGGGTTACACGGTAATGTTATGTAATGCAATGGGTATGACCATTGTTATCCCCTCCTTTGTTTTTCCCCTTATATGTGCTATTTTACAATGGTCATAGGACCCTTGAGGATACCATCTTAGAAAGAAAATCTCAGATGATATTCCATAACCCTAAAGGAAATATTTTTTGGGTGTCTTCCATGTAAATAGATTTCTCTGGCATCAGCACCTACCCGAGCACCAGCAAGACCAGGATGACCTTTATCACCATGTTTGCCAGGTTCACCCTGTAATAAAGATTAAAAACAAAAAGCAGTCTTACAAATTTAGCATCCAATTAGTGAGAACAGTTCTGAAATGCTGATTTCTTGCTTGCTTGTTTTTCTGAGCTTCCTAATTAAAAAAAAAACTGATAATTTGAGTCATGATCCATCCTCATACACAGTAAGAGGCTCCATACACAGCAGGAGGCCACTGTATCTTTGGAAGCATAAGATTTAGGAAGTGGTCTTTCAGCTGGTTATGATAATTTGGTAAAAGTATAATTTAAATGTGACACACGGCCTCTAGTTGTCCTGTATTGAGGTAGACTAGACTGAGAAGCAGGAGAGAAATAGGAGTTCTTGTGAAATGTCCTAAACAAATACTGAGGAGAAAGGAAGTTCTGATGATTCTTACAGTGGGGCCTTTAGGTCCAGGAAATCCAATGTTGCCAGCCTCGCCTCTTGCTCCAGCTGGGCCAATTGGGCCAGGCCGGCCGTCGATACCAGGAAGGCCCTGAAACCAGAGTTAAAAGTTCGCTCAGCATATACCTGTCTCCCAACCTCAAGCGTATGATGTTGCCACAGGATGAAACAGCAATCGTTTATTCGAATGCATAGAACCTCTCATATAAATTGTCAATAAATTATGAATCAATTTTCCTTTTCTAAATAGGATGTCAGTACACACACACCCAATTCAATCTCATATGTAGGCAATTTTTCTTCTCTTCACTCTTCCCATACCCTCATCACCTGTTTCAATTTTCCCTGCCATGGTTTTCTTTTCCCCTTCTCTGCTTTCAGTCCTGTGTTCATTTGGACTCCATAATTACAATCTATTACTCTGCCTTCCCAGATGATGTAGGTGGCTGATACTTATTTTCAATGCATTCATGTATAAATAAGCCACAAAATTGACTTGATAAGGGTGTAATAAGTGTCCTTGAAAATATAATAGGATATGAACAATACTTACGACAGGACCTTCTTTACCAGTTGGGCCAACGCTTCCGGGGGAGCCAGGAAGACCCTGCCAAACAAATAAGAATGCTTTCAGATTAATTGAAATCTCAAAAACGTAGTTTTCCCTCACTTTTTGCTTATTGCCGAATGTACATTATTAGGGATATTAGCTATTAGACAGAAGGTACAAAAAGAGCTCTGAATTTTTTCCCTATTTTGTGTATGTTTGTGTGTGTTCCTTTTTCCTTTATTAAATTTTAGTGTAACTGATCCACTTCCAGATATCACAAGAAACTTTTAAGCAGCTGGCTATGGGGGCAAAATGTATCATGGTATTTATCCCATAAAAGAAAAAAAACTAATACTTTTAGTAAGCCATTTCCAAAGTGGATTTTTTACTGCTGTATTTGGCATCTCTATTATTTGTTTATGGTGCAATTACAGACCATATTCACCCATAAGAGATAATGGGACAAAAAATTACTGTATTGCTGTGGGTCAGAGTGTCTATAGCTCTAAAGGTCATTTCTCCATAGATAGTATGATGCTGAATACATTATAACACTTTGTGGTTGCTGGAAAAATGATTGCACTTATGAATCTAATATATTACTAATAATGTATAGCCCTCATACATTGTATGAACACTTTATACAAAGCTCACATATTAAAAGATTCATGCTGATAGGAGGATCAGTCTAATTGATATACTAGAAATAGATCTGTTCTCTGAAAAATTTAAAAACCCTTTGTCAAGTAATAAACAAGATGTTTATGCAATAAGAACATAAAAACATCTACAGAGATTTGATGAAATTAAATGAAAAAGTAATTGTCTGCAAGATCACCAAAAATTTTCTTTAGATATTTTTATCTTTTTCTTCAAAGTTAACTAAACCCTTTGAAAAAGGACAGGGTGACAGATCTGACTTGCTGAGGAATGATCTGATACTTACTCGGGGTCCCATGAGACCAGGCTCTCCAGGACGACCAGAATCTCCATTGGGGCCTCGGACTCCAGCAGGACCACTTGAACCACGATTACCAGGAGGACCCTATTTTAAAAAAAAGAATGAATGAAGAGCATGATAATGCTTATGACCCATCCATCACCAGAAATATCTAGCTTCTTCATCAGAAATTAGTGATGGACAGCTTACCATGACACCAGCTCTGCCATCAGCTCCAGGAAGACCACGAGAACCTGGATTACCCTGCAGAAGAGTCCATGAACCAGAAAGGAATCAGGAGAAAACCCTTGAATCCCATAAGGCAAAGCACGTTAAAACATGGCATGATCCCTACAGAGAAGACGGAAAACACAAACCAAGCCCAACTTTGTCACCCAAACCCAAGGGAATATGTGGAAGCGCATCTTGCAAAAGTAGGTCAACATTGTTTCTGAACTACTTTTATAACATACCAAATTTGAGAGTCACTGATTTAATAAAACAGATGGGAAGCAGATGCTTCTTTCATCTAGAAAAATGCTCTCAGCAATTTTGACCAATTCCCAATTAAAGGGTGTTATCATCTGCCTGTAGTGTATCTGGGTTGTGGAAACATTTGGAACCTACCCTTAGCCCAGGAGGTCCTGCGGGGCCAGCGGATCCAGGTTCACCATTGGAACCTCTCTTTCCTTCTTCACCACTGGGGCCAGGAAGGCCTTGGGGACCAGCAGCACCCTATTTAATGAAAAGAACAAGAGAAAAGAAAAGGAAAAAAAACATTTATATTGTATCCTGCTAGATATAAAAGTGCATTGAAAGGATAGCCCACAAAATTGTGATCAGAGAACTACTTACAGGCTCACCCTTGTTACCAGTCTCTCCTTTGGAGCCAGCTGGACCAGGCTCACCCTAAGATCCAACATAAAAACCGTGGTCAAATGACAAATGTTAGTTAGAACTCTTTTAGCATACACGTAATTTGGAATATTTGTGTGTTAAGATAAAGAGAGACTTCAGTTCTCTAAGTTCATACTTAAATGGACTACCGGGAATGAAATGGTGATGGTGGAATGGTGACTAATTTGTAGAACTGGGTCTCATCTATCTTGGAAAAAGCTTAGAATAGGAGGATGTGTGCATGCATGTGTGTGTGCCTGTGTGTGTGTGTGTGTGTGTGTGAAAAAGAGAAAGAGAAGAATGTACATGTCTGTACATAAAATTATTTTAAAAATATAAACTAGAAATACCAGGGAAGGAAAATAGGAAGAAATAAAGCTGGTAAAGACAACGGTAAAGTGTGTATTTTAGCATGCCGAAAGCCATGGCTATGACCACTTACGACAAGTCCTCTAGGACCAGTAGCACCGGCAGCACCCACAGGGCCAGGAATACCACGGGGACCAGGGAGGCCGGGAGCTCCAGCGACACCAGGGAGGCCCTGGTGGAAAACAAAGTGTGTCCATCATGAGGGAGCGAGGTGGAGAGTCCGCACACATTAAATGCCATTAAACCCATGCTGCACATTTTACTCACAGCAGCACCCTTAGAACCAGTGAGGCCATTTGCTCCAGGGTTGCCCTAGAAGGAAGAGGAAAGAGAAAGGTAACACTTAATTGGACCATTTCTGGTCTCCTTTGACTTCATCTTTATCCTTGCACTCAGTAAGGCTACTCACAGGAGGTCCAACAGGGCCAGAAAGACCTGGAAGACCCACTTCACCACGGGGACCGGCAGGACCAGAAGCACCAGGACTGCCAACAGGTCCAAGCTCACCCTAAAAGGAAAAGGAACCAGGAATTAGCCAGCAAATAATGATACCACTTCTCTCTGCCATCAGTACACAACATTTTAAGAAATGGCTTCAGAATTACAATCATTTACCTTTTCTGGTTTATGATCCATGATTTTCGATTAGGGATGGCGGTTTAACATTCCTAGCCTAACTCTGCCATTTGGCTATGCCAACCCCATCTCTGTCTCTTGGTGGTTAAGTGTGGTTCCTAGTAGTCCTGACAAGTTTGGAGTTTATTTCATAGGGGCTGCAGAGAATCCATTTTCATGCTATGCTTCTAGTGTGCAAGTGTAGTTAGATGTTCTATTTCAAACTTGGATTAAGAAAACTGATCATTCTAGAGTCACTGAAGGGAAGGCTATTTAAGGTAACCTCTGTAATGATCTCTCTGCAAACACAGTTCTGATCTTTGGCATTCTATTGCAGTGTTTATCAAGATAGTGACAGACAATGGTCACCAGTGTTTTTACCTTGGGACCGGGTGCACCTGGGAAGCCTGGAGGGCCAGCAGACCCAATGGGACCCTAGAATAAAGAAGAAGGTGGAAGAAATTTCCTGTTATGTAAATTAAGAAAACAATGATGATAACAACAACATAAGAAGGTTGAAGTGGTTTTTAGTGTCTTGATCTTATGCATACAGTTAAAGAAGAACCTGATTTCTGGTCTGTTGACATTAGGGTCTCAAGGAAAACTTGTCAAAGTAACCAGTGTAAGGTAAATTTTACTTTATATATCAATCCAGTATTTATACATAACCTATACTGTTTAAAAATAATCTCATAGGACATTTAGCAAAGTGTCTAAAATAATGGCATTCCATAGGAAATTAAGAAACAAGACAGCTCCTGCTCCATACGTTCAACCTTTTGAAAGTCCCCATTGTTAAAACTTACAGCAGGACCCACAGGACCAACACTGCCATCACTGCCACGGGCACCCTAGGAAAAAGCACCAAGAAAGAAAGTCAGGTGGTAAGTTAAAGAGCAGACTTCAGAAGATAAATTAAAGGGAGAAAAAAATGAACAAAAAATGAGACACTTACAGCTGGGCCCGGGGCACCGACCCGTCCTCGCTCACCAGGAAGCCCACGAGCTCCCTACAAGTAGAAATATGTCCAATAAAATCCAGAATGCTATTTTTTAAAAAAGTTACAAACAGCATTTGCTTTGTCTATGTCTAATTTCACACACACACACACACACACACACACACACACACACACACACACACACACGCAAGAATCCACTAAGAACAAATAAATCTTGTTCTAATACAAAGTAAAAGGTAATGGATTTCAATTAAGCATGCAAAAGGCTATTAGAAAAGTATCAGAGAATACAATGCCTAGTGAAATGGTAAATAGCAAAAACATTAAAGAAGTTCCAGCCGATAAAGATTGTACACATTTAAATCTGCAATAAAGTAATCACTACTTACTGATTGACCTGGAGTTCCGTTTTCACCAGGGGCTCCAGGTTCACCCTACATGGAGAAAAAAAATGAGGTTTTGTTCATTATATGGATGTACATGTATTTTTGTTCATTATAATATAATACGTATATATGTACATATGATTACATATATTCTGTCATATTATTTTAATTTGAACCATTCATGTATTTTGAACATTTCTTACACACTTAGATTGTTTCTCAATTATCCCAGACACATATAAATTTCTAAAGTGTGAGTTTTTATTTAAATATACCAAATATCAAGGTACCAGAGGTATGCTGCTATTTGACTATATTAGACTATATATATAAGCTTATATATTAGGAATGGAATCGCAAAAAGAGACAATATATCTGCTTTCAATATGAATGCACTTGAATATTTAAGTTATTTTGAGCACTTAATGTTGTCATTTTCATAAGACCTCATGAGAAGTTGAAGCTTCATAATACTATTTTCATAGCTGTCATAGGATTTCCAATCTATACTTTCATGTTTAGTAAAAACCATAGTGTCTGTAGTAGTCCCACACATACTATGGAACATATGAAACATCTTTCCTTCCAGATGAATCTCATTAAGGTCTAGAAGAAGCATGGTTCCTGAGACTGTCATTCTATGTGAAGTATTTTGTCTGGAAATTAGCACCAATGTGGACACCAGGAAGTGGAGCCTACACTTTTCTAACCACTAAGTGCATGACTTTGGGCAAGTCACTAGCTCTTACTGAGTTAGTTTCCCTTGTTCTCTGTGAGAATCCACAGAGCTCCTTCCAGCTCTAGCATTATATGGTACTGTGATTAGTAGTCTGAGCTGTTATATTGGATTCCTGGGAGAATGAGTTTGACCTTATCCATTTTTGTGGCAGCTGGAAAGTTAGAACAGATTCTCCATATTCACACTCCTTTCTGCTCTTGCTAGTATTCGTTACTCATTAATCTGTAATTATATTGGTATTCACTTTAATATCGCATTATCTCCTTAATAGCAAAGAGCACATTTCATAGTTGAAAACGTTGTCAGAGAAGAGCCTAGCCAAGAGATAACACACTTCTGAGACTTTAATTACCTAATTAAAAAATTTTTTTGAGTACATACAGATAAATCACAGGAAAGAGGTTGAAAAGTGTATTGTGACATGAATGTACCTATCTAATTAGTGCATGGTAAAAAAGAATTTACAGCTTAAAATAGCACATAGTGTTCTAATATCAGATTATATGTTTATTTACTTTTATTTTGGCATTGATTAAAACTATGAGAGGTGGAGATAAAATGGAGGAAGAAACCATTATCCAATATGATAAATATTAAAGTAATAAATATTAGTTATTGGCCTTTTTGTCCTGAAATCGCATATCTTGTATCATTAGGGGTTTTTAAAGTGTAGAAATAGAAATAAGATATTTTTTAGGATGTAAATATTCTTCAGTCAAAATATATTCTGCATTGATGATAGAGAATTATATTCGATTGTTTTAAACAGTGCTTCTAAGTCAGTGTTACCTTGATACCAGGAGCACCAGGCTGTCCCTTCAGTCCATCCAGACCATTGTGTCCCTGAAAGGCAATGGATATTATTAAAGTGCTGCTCTATTGCAGGGCTTGGTTAAATCAAAATCTTCTCTCTTGGTGGGTGCTGTGACTACTGCAGTAGAGTGGAGCCCAGTGTTCCAGCTCCAGGTGAGCTAGTTCATGGCCCAGATAAGTCATATCACCTCCTTGCATTTGAGAAGAAAGGCATGTTGGAAAAAGACACTCATGTCCATGTCTTTGTCCTCTTTTATAATGTTATAAGTTTCAAATAATTGTAAACACCCATGAAATAACTATATATCCTATATGGTTTCTCTGTACAGTAGCAATCCTGCTTCTTAGTAGCTATGAGCAGATTAGCAAAACAACATCCTACCCTTCTTTCAAGTATCATACTTTAACTTTTTCTCCCCTTGGACAAACTCCATGAAAGTGGAGGCCAAGGTGTGCCCTCCAGGAGTTTAACTGAGTTCCTTTCCAATAAAGCACTCAACATTCTCTAGTGGGATAAAGAATGTGCTTACCCGGATACCCTTGAAGCCAGGAAGTCCAGGAGTCCCAGGGAAACCACGAGCACCCTTAAAAAGAAATGCAGAAGGTGAATAAAATATCACTGTAAGTAAAAAGACAACACCTTATCCTTTCAAAGTCATTTCTCTTATCAAAACTCAGGCTTAATCAGAAGTTAGTATATTTTTAAGCACAGAGTCAAAGCTGTACTGTGGATATCTAAGACTGTGATACTTGTAGTAAACACAGTTTAGTTGCTTATAGTATGCCTGGTATCACAAATACTACATTATTTGCATAAATCAAAATCTATGTATTCTTTTTTGTGACTTTTTAATTGTCAGATACCTTCAATCAGTACTACAGGTACAGTGACCTCTATTTGCCAATGATCACATGCTTATTTGAGCAACTACCTTAGATCTAAGAAGACTCATGTTGGGACTATATGTTGTGGAAAACAGTCTCACCTGTGGCCCAACAACTCCTCTTTCACCAGGGCGTCCAGGTTTTCCAGGGTGACCCTGAAATGTGGAAATATTGGAAGGTCAACATGGAACGATGGATAAACTAGCAGACAAACGTGGGGGGCATCCTGGTGTTCACACCAGAAGATAAAAAGTCCACATAAAATATGGACCCAATAAGTAGTTAATTAGGAGTTGCATTTCCTTAGGTATAAGTAAGTTGATATTTCATTAAAAATGATAGGTCCCATATGGAGAGAAGTTATGTCAGGCATATTCAGCTTTGTGCACAATACTTACTTGGCAAGCACTCTATCACTAAGCCACATTCCCAGCCCAATGATGCCTATTTGGGAGCAATCTAGAAATTCTTGTGGTGGGCATCCTTTAAATGGTGTTTGGGGAAGAGCTTCAAGGTAACACTTACATCCTCTCCAGCCTTGCCAGGAGCACCAGGTGGACCACGAGCACCTGCAGGACCCTAAGAAAATGGGGGACCCACAGTTTGATTAGAAATATATTCACAAACTTCCAAGGATATTTACTATCAATGGAGACAATGTACTCACCGTTTGCCCAGGTTCACCAGGCTCACCAGCAGGTCCTTGGAAACCTTGAGGACCCTGAAGAAGGAAAAAAAAGGTTCAGTCCTAGGGTTCTTATAATTTTATTTTCATTTTTTGATGGTGCTGGAGATCCAGTCTAGGTCCTTGTAGGCTAGGCAAGCACTCCATCACTGAGCTGCATCCCAAGCCCAAGCCTTAATTTTTTTCACTCCCCCTTCTCTCTCCTTTTTAAGAGAAATTCTGAGTCTTTGGTACTTACAGGGGCTCCACTAGCACCAGGAGGGCCTCTGGGTCCCATTAAACCCTGTAAAGAAGGCAGATATGGTTAGTACCGACAAGTTTGTCCTGGCCTTTTGTTGAGGTCAGGTAAGTGAGGTTAGGGAAAATGGAGTAAAGAGTAGACAGTACTGGGCTGTACACATTTTGTAATGAACAGATGAAAAGAACCATCCTGGTTTTATTTCAGTGTTTGTCCCTTCCAAGGAAGCATTTAAGAACCCCGGGCTGTCTCCACTGTCTCTCCTTTTGCTTTTCCTCATCTCCCTACCAGATGAGCAGAACCAGATGAAAATTGGGTGGGATGGTGCTAGATCTCTTCGGGATGTGCACAGTTGGGTATATTGAGATGGTTCAAATGAAGGGACGTGAACCATCTTTTACAGTACAGAATATGTAATTTCTTTTGCTGTAGCTGATGAAGCATTTTACATAGATCCCTCCCATCTTTTGACATTCTCTATGTCTCTGTTAGTTAAGAAATGGGTTATTATTATTTTTTTTTTACTGTCATGAGGGCGTACATTGAAAAGAATCAAAAGTTCTTCTTACTGATCAGAGGGAGATTTGTTATGACCTTAGAGATCTTTTCAGGGCTACTGATGACTGGTGAAAATATCAAATGCACATGGATGGAAAGGGAGGGGCGAGGAGATTATTATTGAAACAGTTTACTGGGGGAGTCGACCATATGATGTTATGATTATGGAAAGTGTAGCCCAAAGGCAGATTGTGATCCCATATCTGCTTTATTCTAGAACACAAAACGAAGTTAAAATAAAATGTCATTAGATTTTGAGCTAATTACACATTCTTGACTTCCTCTCCATAGCAATCAATGTTTGTTCAAGCTCCTCGGTTGGAACTATTCCTCATAATGCTGAAAATATTCCAGGTCCATGACTTGAGTAATTTGTTCATGACCTATCAACCGTGAAAACCGCAGTCAAGTCTACCCCCATTGTATTAATGTCTTGAGTGAAACACTACAGATTTTATGTAAAATGCATATCATTTAATTATGAGATTTATTTGGTCTTAGAAATTGCTTCGACATTTAACAAAGCTGTTGCTTTTCAACAGAAATAATGTTTAGGTGTACATTAAGAAGAATGTTTTGACAGCATAAATTCTTAATTATGTTTACTCAGTTTTACATGCATGTGCAACAATTTCATTTACATAGAAGGTGGATTATTGAGTGGAGACTGAGATGAACTATGATGACTCATTAATTCAGAAAGAGATCCCATGGGAATTTGTTGTTATTGATTTTCCAACATGGAAATTATTTTAATACTTTATTACTGCTATCTTCTCTATTTGTGAAATTATATCTGTTGATTGCCTATGTCTCTGGACATGTGTTGATGTACAAGCTGAAATTATATTTCACTGACATTTAAAAGTAAAATACAATATGTCCCCTCCCCCAAGAGACAGATTTCCCAAGGCAAGGGAATCTAAAATCCATATTAATTTTCCTTTCTTATATGTAGTTTTAAAAAGTGACATTTATAGTGCCTTGCTTTATTTTCCTCTTTGCTTCTTCTTGAGAAATAGGTACTGCTTTCGAACTGACTAATGTCCAACATTAGCAGAAAGGGCTAATTTCAAATATCCAATATAAACAAAGCCAAAAGCAGCCCTCCAATTTTTCATTTGAGATATGAACATTTTAAATTACCAGAGAAAAAAATCAGGAAATTGGAAACCATCAATTAATGGTACATTACTTCACAAGCGAGAGTGTTAATTAAACAGAAAATATTATCTTGCCCTTATAGTGTATTAGTTTATTGTGGACCATTAGCTCTAGTAGAGGATCTTTTGAAGGCAGACTAGTGAATGCATACCCAGGTAAAATTTGTATTTTAAACATCATGTTAACACTGGGCAGATAACTGCTTTTGAAAAATAAGTAATTAGAATCATCAAATGTGCATTACATTTTGTAGTGCTTAATCAAACTAATGTTTTTACTTGAAGTAAAAGTTTTCTTTTTATATATACACTAATATTTGTGTTGAGTGATATAAATGCTAGATTTTATTTAGCTTCTATATTGACTTATAATCAACATTCTTAAAAGGTTAGTTTCATCAAAATTGAGAAAGGAAATTTTATTGTTAATTTTATTGTTAATTTCTTGTGAGAAAGCCAAGAAGCCAAATGTGTAACATAGTTTGGAGCCCATTGGAGAAATTTGAATGTTCTATTTAACACTAGACACGTGAGCAAATCTTGTCTGGTGGTTAATTCTAGTTCTTTCTTCATGCCTGCATGATCTTAGAAAGGGTCTTAAACTCTCCAGTCACTGAATGAAATGGATGGACTAGAATTTATTGATTTAGCCTGCCCAAGTCAAGAAATTTAATAAATATTAATTCCAAGCACTGTTAAAGAATATAAAACATTAATTGGTACTAATATTTTTGAATTAAATTGATTTGCCTACATTATAGTTATTATGTTCAAAGGTAGTTTCTGGACATAAGTATATGACCTATTATTAATGAGACATATTTATCAAGATAATCTGAAGTTCCTAATTCAAGTTTAGGTTTTGAAAGATTCCAATACAGAAAAAGTTGCCATTCATCTGACTGGTCTTGAATAGTAACCTAAGTAGTTAAATAAGTAGTATTGTGAGACCTAACATAAATTCTCTATGTAATAAGGTTTTCAAATGTTCAAAAGAGATCAGCATACCATTGGTCCAGGGCCAAGTGAAGCTCCTTTTCCATCATACTGAGCAGCAAAGATCTAGAGGGTTTCAAATAAAATAAAAACAAAGTACATAGATTTATTGGTCACTTTCCCATTCTACTTGGAAAAAATTTTCTGTTGCTATTTATAGAAGAGCAATATTTTTGTTACAAATGATGAAGAATTGAATACTGAGCTAAGTTCCTAATGACTTTGGGAAAATACAAATTTAACATGTAACCCACACCTAGCATAAAACGGAGAGCTTTCCTAAATCTTCTTTTTCAGACTTTAGCCCTATGAAGTCTGTTCTTCTGCTTCTGCCAGCATCTCTACTGTGAGGAAGGGAATCTTCTGAAACTTTTAGTCCCTGAGAGACCCTGGTAGATTAAGAGAGAACAGGAGGACAGTGTCATATTTCTACCTGTTGCTCTTGGCCATGAGAATCACACAAAAATGACTGGGGACTTTTTTCTTGCTGGAGTTTCCAAAAAGAGATAAAGAGTTTTCAAATTTAGAGGAAAATTAAATTAAAATGCCCCTTGGAAGATTAAACTTTTTAAAAATAGTTCAAAGAAATAACTTTACTGTTAAAGATCTCTCTTAGAGTAGTAGCTCTATTAAAGAAGGTGCTTTTTAATGCACTCAGTAGATAAGCAATCATAATAAGATCTTTGGGGGAGAAAGGTCTTATTTTATTGGCATAGTTGGGTGTTAGAATCAGGCTTCTGATTCATACTGCTAACCAATTAAGCAAATATGTTTTCCTTCCTGCAGTGAGGCCATTTGGCACTCATACCATTGTTAAAGACATAAAGCTAAAAGAAGATATTAATGAAAAAGGGAAATGTACTTTTCTCAAATTAGTTTGAAGCAAATTAAACCTAAAACTGCTTTGAATGTTGGTTCAGCAGACTTCAAGCCAAGGAGGGGGGATAACAAAGGATAGGATGTTTGTGAAATTGTTTAAGATCAGGGGTTTCACTTATGTAATTCAATCTAATCAAACTCTTTAATAATGCAGCACCTCCTATTTGTGCCTTACTGATAAAAGATATTAAATCCCCAAATTAAATAATGGTGCTGATGGCCACAGCTACCTTCAGTGGACAGACACAATGATCAGTCCTGCAATTGACAAGAGCTCACAAAAGAGAATGAGCAAAGCAGAACCTTGAATGAAGAAACCAAAGGAACGAAATAAAATATTCTCATTTCTAAATGGCAGATTTTCTTCCCCTTCATTGCTCAAAATAAATGTCACAACGAACTTTCTGCTAACAGACATATAAGAAACTAAAGTTAGAGAAAAGTTACACATTCATAAGCCATCTTACCCCACCAAGACCAGGGGGGCCTGGCGGGCCAGGTTCACCAGGAGGGCCAATGGGACCATCTTCACCATCTCTGCCTGGGGGGCCTTGTGGACCCTGTTATGTATAAAGTAAATTAGGATAGGATTAGACAGAAGCTGATACAGCATGTGAAAAATAGATCTGAGAGTTCATGTTGGATGACTTTTCAATGTGTGTGAAAGGCGGGAATTTAATACACACCAAATTTGACATTCTAAATAGACTCCGGTCTATTTAGAAAATGCTTTAGTAATGGAGGCAAGAAAATAGCACAGAATAGTTTTCTTAGAGAAATAATTCATCCATTGACTATTCATTTGTATAGGGATTTGGCATTTAAATAGAGTTAGAAATGATACCTAAATTTTATGAATCTTATCACAGTGCACAATGGCATACTATATATCTTGATTGTTGGTTTCTGACTTTGATGAATGTATTCAATTGTTTTGGAATTGATGTGTGAATAGTAGATTAATTGATAAGGTCATTTTATTACAAGATAGAAAACCCTGCTGATTTTCTACCATTTACATAATTTATGTTAAGATAATTAATTGATATAAATTGAGTAGAATACATATGACTGTAGTTTGATTGTCATGAAATATATTTATGCATCAGTGTTATCTGATGCAAATAATATAAAACAAAGTAGTAACGTATGCCAAATAAAAATAAAAAGGATGCGACAATGTAAACCTGACTCCTACATATATGAATTTTGACAGGGAAACATTTTACTTACTACCATTATACTATTGTTCCTAAGCTACATGAGAGATCTTATTTTAAAAGGAACAAAACATGCTCAAAAGAATAATGTATGGTGGTGAGTAAATACATCTAATTATGTATGCATCATATAGATCAATTAAAAACAAAAAAGACAGACCATGCAAAGGAAATAGTTATATCTGTAGTAGTCTTTCTTTTTTAGAAGAGTATTGTTGGCCTAAAAAGAGTATTGATGATATATAATAATGCTTATTCACCTCTTCTGTAAGGACATTATCTACTTAAAAGTTGGTACAATTATCTGGATACATAATATTCTTATAAATTACCAGTCTCCTTTATTGTCTAATATGTGGTTATTCAAATATGGGCTAAAGCCCTTTCATAGTTCAAAAATTTCATACCCTTTCTCCACGAGGTCCTCTATCTCCGGTGGGGCCCTACAAGGAATATATAAACAGTACAATGGTTAGGTAATTTCTAGTGAACAAACAAACCATTCTGGATAAGAAAGAGTTGATAAGAATGATCTGACCAGTGTTATTAGATAGTCACTAAAAATGGGCATAATACAATAGATAAAAGTATAATGTTTTTATTATAATTATATGTAATTTTTAAAGTGAAAGACTGGAGGCTACTATAATTTCTAGTCATTAGACCAACATTATACTCACTAATTTTACCAAGATGGTTACTGTAGGTAAAAATAACCATGTTGTTAGATCTTTAACAGTGTATTTATATAGTTAAAGTCCTTTAAAGTTTTCATTTGCTATCTATCATTACGTTAATAATGTATTTCACCTCAAGAATGATAAGTCTTTTTTCTGTCAGCATGTATATTTCCAATTTGTGTAACATAAATGTAATTAGAGATAATTTTGGAAGATAATAAAATTTTTTTACCATAAACACCAGAGGTACTCTTTCATGCATTAGCTAATACATAATCATGTGAACAAAATCTTGGTCAAGACCAAGATTTTCTTTACCTTCTTTAAATTTCATTAGCGTTTATTTCTATTAATTTCAGAGATTTGTTGAGAAGTTAGATTCTTACCTTTCTTGGAGTTCCCTAGGAGAGAAAAAACAATTTTTTACTTATAAAACAGTTATTTTTTATTTATAAAAGATTATTATGAGGAAAATTTTATACATAGACATATATATATACACACACATGCTCTCATTTTGCTGTCATATACAAATGTATTTTGGATGGTATTACATCACTCATTCACTATCTTCATTGATTATTTCAAAACACAATGTACAAATTTATCAAAAAGTTAAATTTTGTTGTATCTAAAAGCAAATATTACATATATATATATATATATATACTTATCTGTGATGCTGCAATTTCAATTGGTGAACTAAGGATGTGTTCATAATATTTTTGAAAATTTCTCTAGCTTAGGGAAATCTTGGATTTCATAGTAGCTGATGCTCAAACCCAAACTAGCAGTGGTTTAATTGCTCTCAGTTTCTTATGGGTACTTTATGAGGCCAGCCTTATTTGGTAGCACCACCCATTTTGGAAAGTGGGGTGGGCTCCTTTTATGGAAGCCGGAAAGGTTTGGATCACCATATCCCTTCACAATTTTCCTGAGAGGCCAGATCACCTTCCTTTCTCAGCAAAAATACCACTGTGATCAAGGAAACAAAAGCCTTAAAATATTCTAAAAATAATAGTACTCACCTCTTGTAAAGCTGTAGAAGAAAGGGAATGTAAGAAATAATTATTAGGACCATTTCAGTGATTAATAACAGCAATTAACAGATATACACGTTTATAAAATTTAGTTATCTAATTAAAGGACCAGTTATTTTTTTTAATTAAGACTATTCTAATGACTTAGAAATTATGCAGGTTAAAAATATACCAAGGAGCACTAGGGTGATTTGTTTGCACTATTAATATGGAAATATATTTTGAATGAAATGGTTAATTATTTACTATTTTATTAATGCCCTGCAATATTAATGTATCTGAAGGATATTTCTAATGCTTAGCAATTAGGCTGGAAATTGCCTGGATGAATCACTGACCATACATAAAGCCAGTAGATTGATAAGGAAATAGTTTATGGTTTACATGATTTTTAATGCTTCAAATGCTAAAAAAAGGGAGAAGTTAGTAAAATATGTTACATAAAGGAGACTTAGTTACTTAGTACATCAGCAAATCTGTAGCATTCTTAATGTCCTTTTTCAAAAGGTCTAATTTGCACATTAGTAACTTTGAAAATGAATTAATCCATCGATCTGCATATTTGCTTTAAATTAGTTCACTTAACTTAGGTAAGGTCATTTTTACTAAGACATAATATTGTTGTCCCTGAGGAAAGATTACTTTGTATAAATGGAAGACTGTGGATTTGATATATTAAAATATAATGGGAAAATAGAGTGATATCTCCTCCTTTGTCATAATTATTAGAAGTCCTCAAAGACCAAATTCCTTTCCTATAACATAAAAATAAAATGAAAGGTTAATGTGGGACACAAGTGGGACCAAGTTTGCAATAAAATAAACCACCCCCTCCCATCCACCGCCAAGAAGTGTGCCTTTTGGAATGAGACCATCTGTTGAAAGGATGGACCACATCCAGCACTGACATTTCAGGGCAAATTTATGAAAATTACTGTTAAATTAAAAAAATATGTTTACTTTATTTGTATCCATCACTAGGAAGAAGAATGACGCCTGCTTTGAAGAACGGAAGCCCTTAAGATTTTGAAAATGTGCCTTTTAATTACTCATATGTGAGCTGTTTTGAACATGTGTTTGCTAATGTTTATTCCTCATGGCGGTGGTTGGCTGTTGATTTGAAGGTGGGTTGACCTTCCCCAAGTCTGTTCACTATTTTATTTCTATTTCTTCCCCCCTATTCTCTACCTTCCTTCTCTCTCTCCCATCTAACCTCACCTGCTTTATCTCTGAGCCTTTATTCTGTGTGCCTCTGCTCTGTGAAAGCAGTAGGCGGGAGACGAATGCAGCATGGCACCCAGCCAGAACTAACTTGGTAATATGAATTTGCTCAGTGCAATTCCTTCTTAGGATCTTCAATGTGTATACTGAGAGCAAGAAAGGGAACACACACTGGCATGGGTAATTATGCAGTAGAAGGCCTTGAGGCTTATGGGTGGGGCAAGATTTTGAAGTGTAGGGTGTGGCCAGACACCCTTTCTCTCCCATCAACATGCCTAGTATCTCTGGGCAGCCATTTTCAAACGGGAAAGGGACTGAGTTTCTTCATTTCCTCTTGATGTGGAAGTCTGGCTATAAAACTTGGAACTGGAACGTGATATTGGATTCTATTTAATTTCCATCCCCCAGTTTGGAAAAGGCCTATTTTTCACTCGGTCAAGGTCACGTAGTAGCAAATTCATAGTCTTCTGGTCTCTTGTTTCAGGTTAAGTGGATATTTTCCAGCTGTATATTCATAAGGTTTGGTTTTCCCTGGGAACATATTGAAGGGGTAACTAACTTTTAAAGTTCAACAAAAGGTACATCAGATTTTCAGTTAACTGTATTACCAGATAATTGAGAAGGAGATTTTAGTTTTCAGAAGGTTAAAGTAGGTTTCGAAATAGCATCTTTCCCAGAACACACTGACTTGCCGATGAGCATGGGCACCATCGCCTTACAAACCTTTAGCATCTTCAGCTGGGATTCCATTAAGGGCTAGTCTCCTGTGCTTTCATTTTCTTACCTCCAGAGGGCGCTTTTTGCCGCCACCATCCCCACCCTCACTCCCTCACCCCCACCCCCACCCCACCCCCATCACCATCAAAGTCATCCAGACCAATCCCAACTCTCAGAAGATAAAAGTTCAGTGGGTCGGGGTGAGTTTTGTCTAGCTGAACTCAAGGGCTTTGTAAGCGAGGCCTCAAGTTGTACAAGATGGGTATGATGAGAAAGGCCCTTGACTTCTGTCACCAAGTCAGTTGTTAATATCTGGGGGGGGGGGGGAAGGGAAGGAGAGATCTTCCTCTCTTATGAACGCTGCTAATCTCAGAATTAATTGCCTCGCTTTTGAGTTCAGAGAGGAAGTTCCCTAACTTCCGGTGCGACTCAAGACTTAGGTGTGTTCACTTTCCAACTAGGTACCATGTTTCTTATCAATCCAGCCTTTCTCCACATGCCAGACAGACTTCCCTCCAAGGGGTGGGTACTTGGGATTAAGATGTCCATTCGCCTCTTTCTGGCCTGGATGCCCACACGGCTGCCTCTCTCATTCCCACTCCCCGAACAAGCAGGAGACACTTACTTTGGCATGTTGCTAGGCACGAAGTTACTGCGAGCAGCAACAGAGTCCGCGTATCCACAAAGCTGAGCATGTCTACCACCTAGACATGCAGACTCCTTGTGTCGCAGAGGCCCTGGGTCACCGGCGGAGGTATCACCTGGCGGGAGCTGGCATGCAGTCGTGGCCAGTACCTCCAACTTAGCCGAGAACCTCCTGCCGCCGTGGTGCTAAAATAATAAAGCCCGGATCTGCCCTATTTATATGGCAAAAGTTTCCCCGGCCCTAGGGTGCCTCCAAAAGCGTCTCCACCAATGGGAGGCCTGGGGCTGGGGGCCGGGGCGGCCACACTGGGAGGAGACTGCGGGGGCCGGGGGGGGGGGGAGCGACCGAGGGAGGGACGTGGCCCAGGGGGCTGGCTTCTTAAATTGGTTCCATTCTTTTTGAGGACGTGGACACGTTTGAGGCTTTCAAGGGCGGGGGGGGGGGGAAACTCTGACTCGCAGTCTGCATACCTCCGCCCTCCTCCCCCCTCCTCCTCTCCCCCCATTCCGCCTCCAGTCCCCCACCCCTCCCTCTGCCTTTCCAAGTTTGGAAACACTTCTGGACACGTCGGAGCACTTTGCAGACACCGACGTGGGCAAAAGTTTGAGGCTCTCGGGGACAGCCCGGCCCGTGGTAGAGGGACCTGGGGACATTAAAGCAGGAGCTGTCCAGTCCTGCTTCACCCAGGGCCCGGCGGGACCACGGTGGAGGGGACCTGGAGAGAGGCCGGGGAGGGAGAGGTCACGGCGGGGTGCAGGCTAGGGCCGCCTCCGCCCCGCCCCCATCCGTCCAGCTTTTCTCTAGCTTTGAGGGTCCTGCATGCACTCACCTTGTCAGTTCTCCTCCTCCCTCCCTCCCTCCCTCCTGTGTCCCATCTAACCTCCCCTGCTTCATGTCTCTGCTTTACTCTGTGTGCTTCATCTCTAAGATGGGGGGAGGGGTGGGGAGGCGAGCGCAGCGTGGCACCAGCAGGAAGGCGGAGAGGCCTCACCCCCCCCTCCCCAACTCGTCTTTGGGCCTGGTTTGCCTGTGCTAAAGCCAATTCCAAACTGCATTTTGGGAGTAACTTATTTGGCCCTGGTGACCTTGAGACCAAGGCCACCTTTTCTCAGGCTGTCCTGTTCTGAGGCTGCTGAGCGGAACCCTCCGGTCTCCCCTTCCCTTTCCAGTCTTCTCCAAGGAGTTCTGGTCAGGATTTGCCAGCCTTACCCAGAGTCTAGACTCAGATAACCATCCCATGAGACCACAACCCTGTTGCCCTCGCGGCCCACTCACTGACCCCTCTGGTGTAACCGATGCCCAAGCATATCTCTGTCTTTATCCTAGCTGGTTCCCCAGAGAGGAGGACTCCCTAGTGCTATATCTGGAGGATGATTTACTTCGCCCTTAGGGGTGTGCACAACCTGCACGGTTGGTGGTTGACCCTTCCCCCCAAAAAACACTTCCCCCACCCTCCACCCTCCACGTGGAAATTTACTTTCTTCCTCACACCCAAACTCCTCTTTCTTTCCTTGCCTCCACCTAACTGTCTACCAGGAAGAGAATCTGGTTGGGAACTTGACCCTGAAGCATGGAGGTGGGAGGTCAGGACTCCTGAGAACTGTGAAACACAGAGTGCTGCCTTCCAGAGCCTTTGGGGAGGCTTTCCACGCCTGAGTTATGGAAGGCGGGGTCCCAGGCTGCTGCTTTGCCTGTCGGACCGCTAATGGAGCTCGGTGGATCTGTCAGCATCATTCTGTCCCAGAACAGATCCCAAAAGGAGCATCTTTAGGTCAATTCTGTGTCCAAGAAACAGACTGGGCCGTTTCCTTGAGAATCTTTTTTTTTTTTTCCTATTTCCCTTTCATTTTTGCTTCATCATAAGGAAGAATTTCTGCCTAAGTTAACTTCATCAGCAACTGCTATAAAGCAAATAGATCAGATATTATTATTACAGCCTCTTGGCAAACTTGAAAGAAACTGACTCAGGAAGTAACTGGTTGTTTAAAAAAAAATAACATGGAGTGAAAGAATCTGAAAACATGGCTGGTCCATCCTAGGAGGGAGGGTGTCTACAGGAAGGAATTTGCATTCAGAATTGCTCTTAATCAAGCAACAGCGTTGAACATTTCATGAAGACTAGTAACAAAAACAAATGACCATATCTTTTTCCTTTATTCGAACTATTGCCATTTTAGAATTAATCCAAAACTTTCAAAAGTGGAAGTTACTTTCTTCAGAAAAAAACTTCAAAAGCACACAGCTAAATGCTTTTTAAAATTATTTTTTCCTGCATTAATCAGAGAAGTGAGTTATTCTTTTCAGCCTCTGTGCTGAGTTGCTTTTGCAAAGCATTATTTGTGCATTTGTCTTAGGTTGCTGAAAGTCAGAGATTAATTCTGAACAAAGTGACTCAGGTATGTTAAGATTTATGAAAGAAACTCTCCACATGTCCTCTGGGAGGTTATATGGTAACGCATACAAGGGCCAAGTTGGTCAAATTATAGAATTTCCAGTACTTATCCCAGATCTTAAATGTTGTGTTATAAGTTTTGTCATTGTCAAAGTGGTCTAAAATGGAGGACAAAACCCTCACTTGTGAGAATTAGCAAAATAGGAGTTCAGGCCCACAAATCTCCACTGAGAAGAAAATCATCCCTGCGAATGGCAGAAAGAGTGAACTGATAACTTGGAAAGCATTCCTGGAAATAGACACACATACCAAAGGCTGCTGGGCCGCCTCCCTGCTGATGTGGCAGGGTTAGAAGCAGGCGTCAGCATTGAGGGGGGAGAGAGGAGGAGCCCTGGATCGAGACCGAACAGCGAAGATAGAGAAAGCAAAAGGAGAATTTTTCCTTTTGGAAGTGGGAGGCAGATTTCAGTTCCAGCTGTTTTTAATGTATAATTTTGACACGCTTTCTCTTACTAACCAGTTACCGGGAACGACAGCTCCTTAGGTGTTTGTTAGTTATAAAGGATGAGTCCTTTAATACTTGCATCTAGATGTCCCCTGAATATTTTGTAACTCCAAATAGCAAGAAAAGCTTTTGTGTGGGTGGGACTAAGGGAGCAGGAAGAGCTGACCCAGAGACTGAACTGCATCCTAGTTATGGTCTGAATGGTGTAGGGGGAGGGGCCAGGGAGGGCAGAAACAAAGCTGGAGAAACTACAGATGGGAATGAGGTTGCTCTGTGGAGGAATGGAAGAAGGGACACAAAGCAATCAAAAACTTCTGCAACTGTGTTACTAGACAGTTAATACTTGGCTTCCTACTTCCATCTTGCTCCTTGATGAGAGCACAGCTTTCAATAACACATACATTGCAAACTGGACCTTACCTGTAGGTGTGCAGAGAGAATGCTTGAGCGTCTGGCTGATATAAGGAGCTTGACAAGGCTATGGTGTCTTAATACTACTATGTTTTCTATGACCGAAGTTATCTACCTGACATCTCTTTGTAAACATTTCTTTTGAGGATAGAGTCCAAGAATCCACCAAAAGGTACCAGTCTGGCACTCCTTTGTTCTATTTCCCTTTCGGGTTGCCTTATGTGTCAAACAAGTCTTAAGAAGGCACTTGCTGATAATTACCTGAGAAGGTTTGAGGGCTAGCTCAAACATCTGTTATTTGTATAGAAAGCCTGGGAAGAGTAGGTCATATTTGGATTTGGATTGTTTATCTTATCAACGAGGTCATAATCCTGTTGGTATATTAGATTGAATCACATATACAGTCATTCACTGCTGTTATAGCAGGTACTATGCAACGTGGGAAACAAAAAGTGAAATGGTGGTCATGACCCTCAGGAGACATATACTATGGTTTGTTAAAGGATAAAGAAGAGTTCTTATGGGTTTATGGGAAAATTTAAGATAAACGTCTAGTTTAGATTTTGGTGGCAGGATCAAGAAGGGCTTCTTGGGGGTGGCAACATCCTTGTTTAAGCCTGAATTATGAATAGAAATTTAAAAAGGAGTAAGAAGACCCAGAATTGTACAATATACCTGCAATCCTGGCTACTTGGGAGGCTAAGGGAGGAGAATAGAGAGTTTGGGACTATCTTGGGCTACATAAGGAGACCTTATGAGAGAGAGAAGGGGAAGAAAAATAAAAGGAAGAAGAAGAAAGGAGGGAGGAGAAGGAGGAGAAAGGAAGGGAAGGGAAGAGAAGGGAAGAATGAAGAGGAGACAAGAGGAGAGGAGTGGAGAGTGTAGTGGAGGGGAGGGGAGCAAAAGGAACAGCAGTAAGGGAGAAGGGAAGCAAAGGGAGAGTAGAGTAATCTGGGCACAAAGGTACTAGAAAATTTGGCAGTCTGAGGCATGCAAAGCCTTTCAGCATAATTCCATTGTAGGAGCCAAGGTGGGGAAGAGGAGGGACTGGTAGATTTAGCAGGAACCAGATTAAAAAGACCGTGTAAGCTATGTTCTGGTGTTTGTGTTTTCCTTACTGTGCTGTTGGGGTCTTTGGATGATTTTAAATGGAGAAAGTATGCTATCAGAGAGTAGTTGTAAGTGGATGGCTTTGGCTGAAGTCTGGAGAATTTAGAACAGAGGAGACAAGGGCAAACAAGTTAGGAGGCTGTGGCAGAAATTCCAAGAGAAACAGTTATGGCCTGAACATGGAAGTGGTGATAGAATTCAGATAAGTTGTTGAGCTTTAAAAACATCTCAAAAGTAGAAGAAAAGCATTTTGAAGTTTGGTCATGTAAACTGAGGTCCAAGGATAACTCCAGGAGCACCACAGGTTTGTGGTTGACTGAATTGGGAAGATCTGAGGAGAGGTTGGCTTGGAAGAGGGAGGAGAGGATTAATAGATTGGTTCTTATTCAAATTTGGTTGGTTATGGGCATTCAAGTAGGTCTCATAGAGAACATTTAGACCTGAAGTATGCCATTTATATCTGGTCTTGATTTGTGGATCAGGGAGTCCATTCAATCCCTCATGCTTCAGAAGTAGATGAAATCCCTCAGGTTTTATGTGTATATGGAAATAGGAAAATAAAACCCAGAACAAATACTTGATGAGCTCAAGGAATGGTGAGAAGAGGAAAAGCCACGGGGAGAGGGGTGATTGGGAAGCAGAAACCACATTGAATATAGCAGATACTAAGATGTTTGAATGGCAGAAAGAAAGGGCTGTTGGGAGACAGGAAGAAAGCATAGTTTTGTGGATGCTATAATGTTTCATAGCTTTTCTGAGATGTCAAATAAAAGTTAAAAAGATTACACAAATTTGCATCTCAGGTATTAGTGACACTAGTGAAGGTGAGTTCACTAGAAAGGAATGGAAAGAAAGAAGAGAGGGAGTTAAATTAATAAACTTTGCCCTATGACCCAACCATACCACTCCTGGGCATCTACCCCAAACATCATAAGCCAGGATTTCATAAAGACATGTGCACACTCATATTCACTGCTGCACTATTCACAATTGCAAAGTTATGGAAACAGCACAGAGGCCCTACTAAAGATGAGTGGATCAAAACAAATTGTAGTACTGAGGCACAGT